TTTTTCCCCGAAGGGCAATTCAGTTTACAGTCTACCAGACGGGTAACATGAAAAACAACAATCACAAGCATAGATGTTCAGGCACTCTGTCAGTGGCAATCAGTAGACATGTAAGGACAAAATGATGCAGAGAATTAACAATAAACAGAACAATAAATGGTAGCAAACAAATACAATGCCTGGCCATTTCTACTTGCTGCCACCAGCACCGTTAAGAAGCGTGATGGCAGAAGGAATAACAGAATTCGCATATCTGTTTGCTTTCGTAGGGGGGTGGAAGGTAGCGCTGTCCCGAGGGCATTAAACTAGAATAGGATGTGGTCAGAACGGCTCATAATCTGTCTGGCTTTCTGGACGATTCTGTTTTTTATCAGAGAGAGCTCAGGTCAAACATCTGGGCTCCTATGATCTTGGAGCAGATGATGACAATTCTGCTGTACTCAATTTGTACTAGAAGTCACACAGTTATTGGAATGGAGATCATCTGAGTGCAGTGAATGTGTTATTTGACTATAGTATAAGAAAAAAACACCAGTATCTGGAGCGTCCAGTCACTTGTAAATCAGTAGTCCTGAGAATAACTACAGTTTAAGGACAAAACAGGCAAAAAACTCCAAGCAACAGAAAGAAATTACTGAACAGCATAAGTCAGGGGATGGACACGAGAAAATCTCCAAGTCACTGAATATCCCTTGAATGCATCTGACTAGAGCAGGCTGTCCTCAAACACTGAGTGACTGCAAAAGGAAGAGACCAGAAAACACCAGCGATGACTCCTATGAGGGAATTACAAGCTTCAGCGGCTGAGACTGGAGAGACTGTGCAAACAACAGCTATTGTCTGTTCTTTACCAGCCAAAGCTTTATGAGCGAGAGCTACTGTTGAAAAAAGCTCATATGAAATCTTGACTAGAGCTCGCCAGGAGGCATGTGAAAGCCTCCAAAGAAGGTTCTTTGGTCTGATGAGATCAAAATGTAGCTTTTTGGCCATCAGACTAGACATTATGTTTACTGCACATCATCACAAACACATCTTCTCATGATGAAGCACGGTGGTGGCAGCATCATGATGTGGTGACGCTTTTCCACTGGAGGTCCTGCAAGGTTTGTAAAGGTATAGGACAAAAGTAATGCATCAAGGTATAGGGGAAAGTGCTCAATGCAGAAAACTATCTCCTGTGACTGGTTTACTGCTGCATATATTAATATCACTACATTATTTTCATTCACACAACTTGTGAAAGAAGGATTTCACTGTTGTAGTTGTTTGCGTTGGAGTTCAGTTTGAATTTTTATCTATCCAACTGCAACCAATTGTTATTTCATTGTGGATTAATCTGCTCAGTATGTTCTCCATTATTTCATTTATGGTTTGGTTTGATAACAAATTATCAAAATAGTTGCCAAACTTCTGTCAGTTTCAGATGTTACCAGTCCATGTAACGACAGAAGATCGCATCACATCGTATTCCAAGGACAACATGGGGCATGCATGTACAAACTGAACAAAACCCTTTTTTTGCGTTAAATTTGGCTGATTGGGATGAAACATCTTAGCCCAGATTAAGCTACAGTGTGTGTATACTGGGTTGCACACGGTGGTTAGCATCGCTGCCTCACAGCAAGAAGGTCACCGGTTCGCATCCCGGTGAGGACACCCGGGATCTTTCTGCGTGGAGTCTCCATGTTCTCCCCGTGCAGCTTGGGTTCTCTCCAGGTTCTCCAGCTTCCTCCCACAAGGTCCAGAAACATGCTGAGGTTAATTGGTGATTCTAAATTGTCCGTAGGTGTGAATGTGAGTGTGCTTGGTTGTCTGTCTCTAAGTGTAGCCCTGTGATAGACTGGTTACCTGTCCAGGTGAACCTGCCTTCACCCTGAGTCAGCTGGGATAGACTCCAGACCCCCATGACCCTAGTGAGGATTAAGTGGTGTATCGATGATGGATGGATGTTACAGATTTTCCTTGTTTTGTTGAACTACAAATAATATTTAGTAAAATTAGCAAAAAAAGTACTAATTTTCCAAGTTAAAAAATGGCCAAAATGTACATTTGCTTGTGTTTTAAAAGGAATTATATACTTAAAAAATGTTTTTTAAAATATCCCTGTCGTTGTTTCTGTCCTGCTACAGACTATTACAGATAATATCTAGTAAAAATGGGGCAGTGACTTGAGCTTGAGGTGAAGAAAAACTTAAGCTGATCTCATTAAGTTAGCTCAACTTGAAATGAGTTTTAATTCAACAAACAGTAATGTTGAGTTTGTATTACTTACAAAATCAAGTTGAGACAATTACCAACATTATTATGTCAATTCAACTCATGAAAATAATGTTTACAACTTAAATAGTTTATTTAAATTAATTAAGTTAATTAAGTTAATTAGATTTATTTTTAAACTTATGTGTTAGTTTTTACAGTGCTGTTGGCCTCAGTCACATTTCTATTGTATTCTGTTTTGGGGGGGGAAAGGATTCTATTAGTAGAATCAATACCTGCCAGGTTTCTCCTCCGTCTTCATCATCATCACCTCCTCCTCCTCCTCCTCCTCCTCTTCTTCCTCCAGAAGCTACTTCCAGCACCGGGCAGCTCTCGTCGCTCCGCCCACCTCCGGCAGACAGGCAGTGAGAAACAACCACACACGCCGGTGGGCGACACTTCAGGTGGCCTATTAGGGTTTCATTGGGAGGGACGGAACTTGAAGAACAATTTGCTCCGACCCTCGTCATCCTCTCACATGGATCTCGCCGAGCTGGAGTACAAACAGAGCGGCCGGATGGAGCGCTGAGCGCGGAGTTGTGCAGGTGTCTGGATCCCGCCGCGGTGCTTCCGAAGCGCAGCACAACAGCAGAAGTCCGGGTTTTCTGAAGATGCAAGACGGACGAGAAGTGGGGATCCTTTTTCGTTGTTCAGGCGGATCATGGCTGTGAAATCCAGGACATTCTCCGGCGGCTGCTTTGCAAAGTATTTCTGGTGATGCTCGCCACGCTGTGCCAGGTGCCCGCGGTGTGAACACGAACCATGGCTCTGCTCGTCGTCCCGCTGCTCCTGCAAACCGCGCTGGTTTTGGGCTCCAACTACGGCTACGTGGAGTGGTCGGACAATGACCGAGACGACAAGAACCCGCCGGTGTTCAGCACCCAGAACATCAACAGGGAGCCGCCCCACCTGCACCCGACCTACCACCCGCTTCCCGCCACCGAGCGCGCAGTCGTGGCGCACAAAATCGAGGAGGACCTGCCGAGGGTGGTGACCGCCTTCCTGCACACCGGAGACTCCTCGGCGCTCCGGCAGGTCAACTGTTCGCGGAGGTACGAGCTGAGCAGCCTGAGAGGCGGCCTGCACGTCGCCTCCCACTACTCCCTGCACAGCATCCTGGACACCGTAGCGCACGCCACAAACTTCCTGAACATGATCCTGCAAGCCAACAGGTCCCGGGAGCACACCTTGCGCAGGGACATCCACTGGTACCACGCTCTGGTGCAGAGCATCCTGGAGGGGGACCCCAAAATCCACAGGGCGGTGGTGACCCTGCACACGGACGCACCGACGCCGGGGCCCCACGTCTTCCTCCAGGCCACGAGGACCGACAAGGAGGTGGTGCTGCAGGACCTGTCCGGCTCCGCGCACCGGCACCTGAAGGGCAGGGCTCCGGAGTCCGAGTGGTTCAATGAGTTTCGGGACGGCAGGAGGCCACACGTGCACAGGAGGGTTCAGGAGGCGTCTGGCTCCAGGAGTGGAAGTTACCTTCTGGACAAAAACCAGATCAAGTGGTCTGCGCCCTACCTGGAGTGTGAACACGGAGCGTTTGTGCCATACTGGCTGCTCACGCTGTCTGCGGGCTTCTATGGACTCAAGAGCAACTCTGCGCCAGAGTTCAGGTGAGAGGGAGAGAAAAACGCACTGTTATGTCCCCAAAATGTTGTTTTTTATCTGTTTAGTTTCACAATCTGTCCTTTAAGTTACTTCACATTCTTCAAAAATGTAAAAACACTGCAGTGAAATGCAGACATACACAATAAATACCAAATCCAGCACAGAGGAACCTTCAGGGAACGTTTCCTGGAGGTTCCTGTGAGCTGGAATGTGTTTTTTTATGTTTATGATTCAGAAATTGTGTCTCCCAACTTTTTTTTTTTTTTTTTTTAAACATTTTAAATGCACATACAACTAAAACACGTGAAACAATACAGAATCAAGTCATTTTTATGGATAGGAAACATTTGTTAAACAGCAGCAAAGTCATGCAAACTGTGAGTATGTTTTGCAAACTAATGAAAAAAAATCAACTTAATGTAAAAAATAAATAAATAAAAAAATCTATGTTAAAAAAATTCTAGATATTTATTATGTAATTTATATTTTATTCATATTTTAATATATTTTAAAATGATAATAAATAAAAATTGGCCTTTCCGTGGGCACCAGTGTACATTTAAAAAAATCATTTAGAAAGAATGACTATATTATATTTTTTAAACAATATTTTAAAACATTTTTCTGTTTTGAAAGATGTTTTTATAATTATCAATAATGTTCTTTGCTCCTTCAGTCAAGTCGCAACTTTAAACAATTCTTTGTAAACTGTTGTGCGAAAACATTTAGTTCAATTCACACCATCAGTTTCACAACAGCCCGCTGTTAACTGTAATTCTGACTCAAATAGTATCAAATTTTACAGTTTGTACCGTGTTTTTGAAAGCAAGCACGCCACTGTTAGAATTTTGCTGCACTTTCATCGTAATTTATGACATTTAAGGGCCAGATATGACACATAGCAGATAAAACCTACCAATTAATCAAAATTACTGCCATCAAATGCATTTGATTGACAATAATGACGCCTAATGTAGATATGAACCCTCCTGAACTGCAGCCCTCCAAGAGCCAGATGGTATTAAAGCATCTTCACAGGCACAAGTAGACCTTCCTCATTTAATATGCTCATCTGTCAGAGCACACCTGTGCCTCTCCGCCGCTGCAGCCTGCAGTCTAATGAGCACTGCAGCCTGAGCACAACGTGTTTGTTTGTGAGGCGATCTATACGAGCTGGCATTGTGTGGAAGTGTGTGTGTGTGTGTGTGTGTGTGGGCAGCAGCGAGGTGCCTAAAAAACACCAAGCATCTCGTGTTTCAGGGCTCCAGTCCAAGAGTGTCTTGAAAAGATCAATTAAATCATGAATAAACAATGAAATATCAACAACTGCAACATGAAGCCACGGTGAGTTTCAGGGGCACTTCACGTCAGCGTGAGCGGAGGTGTGTCACTCACAGATACGTCAGCCATGTCTGACGGCTCTTTTAGTGAATATCCAGGAAAAAAGATTTGTTTGAAAAGTTTGTGCTTGAAGACTCACAGGTTTTAGAGCCAACGTTTCATCTCCCACCCATGAGCACTACAGAGGACATTGCATTGACTTGCATTCATTTTGTAGAGACCAGTGCTGCAACTACTGAAAATCTCAATTGCTGAGTGATCTATTGATTATTTTCTTGATTAACTGATTAGTTGTTTTGTTTATAAAATGTCAGAAAATGTTGATCAGTGTTTCCCAAAGTCCAAGAACTCATCCTCAAGTGTCTTGTTTTGTCCACAACCCAAAGATGTTCAGTTTATTGTCAGTGAGGAAGAAAGAAACCAGAAAATATTAAATTTTAAGAAGCTTGAAGCTGACATTTTTGACTTTTTAATTTTCTCTTTTCAATCAGATTAACCCTCCTATTACTTTCAAATTTACTGACATCTTTTATCCTTGGGTTCAACCTGACTCCAGCAATTTAAACCTTCAGAAAAGTATTGTAATTAAAATCCTTACCCAAGTTTATGTGTAAATAGCCCTTTAAATAAAACTGAAAAAAAATATGTTGATCGCTTATTAAGAGGTGTTAAACATTGAATGTGTTCAAATTGACCCCAAAGATAACAGGAGGGTTAACTGACTTTCAAAATAGTTGCAGATGACTTTATAACAATTCGATTGAAGGATTAATCATTCCAGCTTTACCTGAAACGTATCCTAACTTAAGTATAACCAGTGATTGCCAAAACCTAACCTTATCCTTAACTTTGCAACAGAGGTGTCAAGATATACTGGTATTGACGATAATACCAGAAGTAATCCATCGTCTTTACCATCTCGTAGACACTCAGTACAGTCATTGTTACAGAATCTCTGCACCTCCCTGTACTCATATGTTGACTGTAATTTGCCCAAAACAGAGAGACACATCGTGATAACCTCATTATTGTGGATTCTTTCGGCCATGATAATCATGTAGCGGAGATCTAGTAATGATCTGTGACACCTTAAACCAACTCCTCATACAAAAAAATTCATGATGATGTTATTGGAACTTGTTTTGGTTTCAGAGCTTTTATTTTGAAATGTTGCCTTTAAAGAAAATGCTTTAAAAGAGGATTCATTTATTGTTTTGGAGCCTGAAAGTGAGCAGATCTGTTTCTGACTTGTAGTTCAGTTTCTTTCAACTTTAAAACGTTTGGTTGGATGTGCACACTTTTGGTAGCTTTCCTTGTTTTTGTCTTCAAAAGGGAGGCACATGTGGCACAATGTACCAATGCATGATGTCAAATTAGAACTCACAGATCTACTTCTACCTTCAGCAACATGTTGAGTAAAATCCACCTTAACTGAAGCAGCACAGTAAACAGGACGCCCAGAGTCTGGATCACAATGTGACTCTGTGATTTATGCGTCGTGTCTGTGATTTGGGCCTCGGCTTGGCAAACGTCCACCGGTCCGACGTGCGTCTGAGCAAACTGCTGCATCACTACCTGCTCCGGGGACAGCCGGTCTCGGAGCTCCGCGACGTGACCAGGAGCCGCTCTGGACTTCTTCCTGCAGAGTCACCGCACAGAGGATCCGGCTCCGACGAAGGAATCAGTTTCATCCGAATCGTCGTGATCCTCAATTTTAGCTTTTTAAATCCCACAGACAGTTACTGCAGCTGCTCAAAAGTTAAGCGTGTCTCTTACACGGCACAGTTTCAATTTGCTGTAATGACTCAGACAGTCTGTCCGCTTGTTCATTCCCAAAAAAAGAAAAAAAAAAAAGAAGATTTATCGGCTGTCTGGTATATTGCCCATATAAAACCATCAACTTGCCATGATGAGGATGTTCAACTAGTTGAGAGAAACGGACGATCTGCTCGTGTCAGCTGCCCCGAGGCGTGCGAAAATGTTAAGTGTGATTAAATGAATTCGGCGAATGAATTTCTAATTAAATCAATCGACTATTTCGGCTCAGCCAGGAGGGTTTTGAGTGAGTTTTAATGATTGTGACATTTTACAAGTGACTGTGATTTGTGACATTTAGAAGAAGCAAAGTCGAATACTTTGACTCATGCATTAAATCCCATTTGCCAAGTTGCATTAGAATGTGGAGAGGACAGTGGATTACAGAGGAGTAATCCCTGCACTGCTTTTGCAATATGAAGCAATATTTTTAGTAGCTCGTCTTTGAAGGTGAAAGTGTTGGGAACTGAAAGAGCTGTGTGTTTTTTTCCCTTTCTTTTTCTTTATTTCTTTCTTTGACACCAGAAATGAAGTTTCTCCCGGAGGGTTCAATCATGTCACGTGGTTTTCGTCTGTAATTGAAGTTTGCTCTGGTGTCCTTTGGCCTATTGGCTTAAAGGAAGATATGAAATTCATTCCTGAGAAGTTTAAACTCAGGGTTCACTTACCAACTTTTCTCCTGGAGCTTTAAAATAACACAGAAAAGTTACAAACAAGCGCTCTAGATAGAATGATAACAGCTACTCGGCTTGCTTGTATGTGTCACATTTCAAAGATGTGCAGAGAATCTGGCAAGTCAACCTGGAGCTGGCATTGTTTTGTCAAATTTCCAAGATCAAGAATGAACTTTCACGCTTTCAATAACGCAGTTTGGCATTTGTTGGAATTGGCTGTGAAGTCGGCAGAGGGAGCCAAGGGAGAATTCAAGTGAGGAGGGAACACAATAAAGCCGTTATTCAAGACCCGAGCGCGTATCTCAGAACTCTGTACTTGAGGGTAAACATTGGCTGCAGCTACACAACCAGATGCACGGAGCTCTTTTGTTGCTGCCTCTTCCTGCCCGTCTCAGTCCTGCGATGACATTTCTATAAATAGAAAGTTGGTTGGCTCTGGAGAGGAAAAAGCATAAGCTGGTGGAGATGATGGAGTCAGATCCACCATGTCTCCGACCTTCCATCTCAAAGCAACCTCTGTCCTCATCCTCTTTCTCGTCGTCTTTTCTCCCCCCGCCCTCCTTTTCTCGCTGTCCCTCCACGCCAAATTCAGAGCTCGGCGAGTCCACATTAAGAAGAGGCCTTCGGGGTTTGCAAACCGAATAAGAACGTCAGTGATAGCTGCAGATTTGAAGCCGAATTTGGAGGTAATGAGGGAGAGACGGGAGGGAGGCGACCCCGAGGCACAGCTGATTAGTTTACATTCAGCGGTGCCGTTAAAGGTGATGTGATTATTTCTGGCTGTCGGCGAAGTCGTCGCTGGCTTTAAAGGCGCAACAGTTTGACGTCTGTAAAATCGGAGCCACAATAAAGCTGATTCATCTCAGCAGATACAACAAACAAATCACAGAATCACTCTCATCACCTCAGGTAGGGTTACGAAGGAACTACAAAGACAAGATCACACGCTAACGCTGTTTACAGTTTTAAACACTGGAAGGTGGAAAAACTGAACAGCTGATGAAGAATTTCCAACATGTTTCTCCTGTTCAGAGGAGCCAAACACTGAAAACAAACACACCCACGGAGGGACTCCTACGGAAGACCATTCTTGCCATAAAAAATGACTTTCACAAGTAAATAAAACAGTTGTATATTTTTACCTTTTGTTGTTTTTTTTAGGGATAACAGTGGCT